AAACTGCATTGAGTGTTTTAAGGGGAAAAATGACTAAAACTAAGAAAAAGACATCAGTTCGAAGTCAAAAACTATTAGAGATTATCCACTCTGATGTTTGTGGACCTTTCCCAACTAAAACAATATGTGGGAACATTTATTTCGTGACTTTTATTGACGATTACTCAAGGTTTTCATACCTTTATTTGATCTCAGAAAAATCTTCAGTGTTGAATTGTTTCAAAGCATTTAAAACTGAAGTAGAGAAACAGTTGGAGTTGTCCATTAAAATTCTAAGGTCCGATAGAGGAGGTGAATATTATGGCAGGTACACTGAGGCAGGTCAATCTAAGGGGCCTTTGGCTCAATACTTAGAGGAGTGTGGTATACAAGCACAGTACACTACTCCAGGCACGCCACAACAAAATGGCGTGGCTGAGAGGAGAAATAGAACGCTGATCGAAATGGTTAGAAGCATGATGAGTTGTTCAACACTTCCACAATTCTTATGGGGTGAAGCTGTGAAGATGTCAAATTACATCCTGAACCGAGTTCCTAGTAAGTCAGTTTGCAAAACTCCTTTCGAGTTGTGGACAGGGAGAAAGCCAAGTTTGAATCACATGCATGTTTGGGGTTGTAGTGCAGAAGCTAGGATGTATAATCCTGCTGAAAAGAAATTGGATTCGAGAACAATTTCATGTCACTTTGTGGGATTTCCTGATAAATCAAAGGGTTATAGATTTTATGCATCAAATCTCTCAAATAGAATATTTGAGTCCAATGCTGCCAAGTTTATTGAAGATAAAGAAGCACCGAGTGATTTTCGAGTAACATCAGTTTTGGAATTTGAAGAGCAAGGTGATATAAGTGAGGGTAAAAGTCACGGGGAAAATTTTGATTCACAACAATCTGTGGTGAATTTTCATATTGGAGATTTTAATTTGCAAAGTGGCACACCTGTTACAAATGTCAACGCACCTGTTACAAGTGTTGATGCAACCTCTACTCCATCACATGCATCAACTAGTCAACCAATACAAGCATCAGTAAATGAAAGAAGGGTGATGCCACAAAGAGTTAGGAGGTCAGCAATACCAGATGATTATTTTGTGTACTTTCAAGAGGTGGAACTGAATGAAGGCATATCGGATGATCCTGTTACTTATCAAGAAGCTATGAGTGGTTCACAATCTGAATTATGGCAGGAAACAATGTATGATGAACTTAAATCCATGCAAACAAATAATGTTTGGACTTTAGTTCATGCACCAATTGATATCAAGGTAGTGGGGTGTAAATGGGTGTTCAAAACTACTAAAAAGGATTCGACTGGAAGAATTGAGCGGCACAGCCAGACTGGTGGCTAAGGGCTATACACAAACTGAGGGAGTTGACTACTCAGAAACCTTTTCTCCTGTATCGACTAAAGATTCACTTCGAATTGTGTTGGCCCTTGTGGCTCATTATAACCTAGAACTACACCAGATGGATGTAAAGACAGCTTTCTTGAATGGTGATTTGGAGGAAGATATTTATATGGAACAGCCTATTGGTTTCATTAAAGAAGGTGAGGAGAACATGGTTTGTAAGTTGAACAAATCGTTGTACGGCCTAAAACAAGCCTCGAGACAATGGTTCTTGAAATTTGATGAAAAGGTAACTTCTTTTGGTTTTTGCGAAAATAAGATCGATGATTGTATTTATCTCAAGGTTATTGGATCTAGATTCATTTTGCTCGTGCTTTATGTGGATGATATTCTCTTGGCAAGCAATGATCTTAATCTTGTGCTTGAAACTAAGAGATTGTTGTCTAAAACCTTTGAGATGAAGGATATGGGAAATGCATCATATGTGCTTGGTATAGAGATCAAAAGAGATAGGGCTCGAGGATTGTTGGGACTCTCACAAAAGTCATACATTGAAAAAGTGTTGCACAGATTCAATATGCAAACTTGTGCCAATGGAGAAGTACCAATGGGAAAGGGAGACAGGTTGAATAAGTCTCAGTGTCCAAGGAATGAAATTGAGAAACAAAGCATGGTCAATAAGCCTTATGCATCCCTAGTAGGAAGCTTGATGTATGCACAGGTCTGCACTAGACCTGATTTGGCATTTGCCATCAGTGTGTTGGGAAGATATCAGTCGAACCCCGGTGAACAACATTGGGTTGCAGCCAAGAAAGTGTTACGATACTTGCAAAGGACAAAATCCTTTATGTTGGTTTACAAGAAAGTAGAGAACTTGGAACTAGTTGGCTACACAGATGCTGACTTTGCAGGTTGTGTGGATGACAGGAGATCCACGAGTGGCTACTTGTTCTTCTTGGCAGGAGCAGCTGTATCATGGAAAAGTGCTAAACAAAAGGCACTAGCCACATCAACCATGGAGGCTGAATTTATAGCATGTTTTGAAGCTACCAAGAGAGGCTTGTGGTTAAGAAATTTAATCAGCTGCATGGCTATTGTTGATTCAATTTCGAGACCACTAACCATATACTGCGATAACAAAGCTGCAGTAATTTTCTCTAAGAATAACAAGAAGTCTGAGGCAACAAGGTTGATGGACATCAAATATCTATCAGTGAAAGAACATGTGCGAAAGGGTGAAATCACGATTGAGCACATTGAAACAAATTCAATGATAGCTGACCCTCTGACTAAGCCATTGGCAGTAGGAGCATTCAAGGATCATGTCTCAAAGATGGGAGTGCTTGAATCTCTAGAATCTGCTGAAGTGTGGGAGTGAGAAAAACTTACTATAAGTCACATGTATATTTCAAATATGAATTCGAATGTCATTATGTTGTTCAATATCAAGACCTACTGTGTCATATGCACTTATTGAGCCTATTGGTTTTCTAAGTTGCTGACTGTATACATGTATATGTGTATTCTAGTGTTTTGATGATTGGACATGAATAATTCGAGGGATGCAACTCGATGAATGCTCAGGATTTTCCAAAGATGATCCATGAAATGACTGTTTTGAATGAATGAAGGAATATAAATTCATTGAAAAGTCTAAAATTTCTTTCTACATATTAATCTTAAGTATTTGTGGTTTCAGGGTGCTTGTGTTGTCTATAAACACATGATTTTCTGAAGTTCGAATACTTGAATTAATTATAGTAGATGAAAGGAAGTTAGTAAGCGTGAAACTCGATGTGATCACATAAGGTATCAGTGTTATAAAAGGGCATGACTTTGATTATAATGTTTAGTCTGTGTCCATGTGGGAGAATGTTAGATACCTAGTTGGACTTGACTAACATTATAAGTATTAATCTTTAGTTGCCTATACGTTATAAACTGATTAAGGAGTTGTAAGCGTGGAAAACTACTTCTTTAATTAAGGATACGTGGATAACATGCAGCAAATGATAACTGTTTATCCACTGCTCGGTGAAAACTGCCGACAACCGCAGGAAACTGATTTCCACGATAGATGGAAGTTAGATGAAGGCTGTGTATATATAATCCAGTTCCCTACCCGTGAAGAGTTGTTCCGTAATATGTAGGGTTCTATCACCTTTGGAACTTAAAGTCTTAAACGAGTAGAAGAACCGCAATTTTCAACCAGAAGCATGACTGCTCCAGGTATCGCAACATAGTCGAACTAAATGTAATCTGGGATACTTGTTATATAATGAACTTACTGCATTAATGTTTGACTGCAAATTGATTAAGTACAATATATATATCGGTTTCCAACATATATAGCATGTGGGCAATATTTTGATATGTATATATCCAAAACAAGTAACGATAAAATAAACTTGGATTTTAATTTGCTAATTTTCAGGCATGAGATTGTGGGGGAAGTGACAGAAGTGGGAAGCAAGGTGAATAAAGTGAAAATAGGAGACAAAGTGGGTGTAGGTTGCATGGTTGGTGCTTGCCATGCCTGCGAGAGCTGTAACAGCAATCTTGAAAACTACTGCCCCAAAATGATTCTTACCTAAAATTCCCTTTACCCCGACGGAACTGTCACATATGGAGGTTACTCGGACACAATGGTCGCCAATGAGCGCTACATTGTTCATTTCCCCGAGAACCTGCCACTTGATGCTGGTGCTCCTCTACTATGTGCTGGGATCACAGTGTATAGTCCCCTGAGATATTTTGGCTTATCTGAGCCTGGTAAGCATGTTGGCATTGTAGGCCTTGGCGGGCTTGCTCACACCGGTGTGAAATTTGCCAAGGCGTTTGGGTCAAAAGTGTCTGTGATTAGTACCTCCCCTGGCAAGAAAGATGAAGCTCTGAAGAAACTTGGGGCTGATTCATGTTGGAGAACAATTCAGAAATAAACAATATAACAGAAATAAACAGAACTTGAAATTCACAATTTTATTTCACAAAAAGTACTTGCTATACAGAATGAAAAGTATACAATAAATACATAAATTAATATAAGAATATCAACAGTACTAACTTGATTACAGAAGGTAGAGGTTAGCGTAAAAGCTATGTCATTCGAACAGTAATTCCGTCCCACTCTTGTGCTTGTGGTTCTATAACGTCTGCTCGACCAGGATACAACTACCTAATCCTACAACCCGCATTGGATTATAGAATTCTAGCGAATTGCTTTGTGTGTTTACTCTCTCTGGAAAGTTTGTACGGAAGAAAAGGAAGAAGAAAAGATGAAAAATGATGAACTGAGGACTCCAGTTATATAGGCTCTTTCATACCTCTTCAAATACCTTTTGGATGTATCTGAAGCTTTACAACTCTCTACAAAAGGTTGTATCTTTAATCAAAACGTTTTTAATTAATTTAATTAAAAACTTAATTCGAAATTAAAACTAATTGATCAGATTAATTTTAATTCTTAGGCCCTTGTCTTGATTAATTAATATTAATATTATGGTATAATCATCAAGCCCAATCCACAGAATGGTGGCCCAAGCCTCAATTCCCATTCCAAGGGGTCCAACACATAACTAATATTGTAGAAGACAAAACATATATAAAGGTACTTTGGAATCTTGTTTTCACCATTGTGGGACAAGAGTCTCAAAACTTCGTGGTTAGCTGCGACCAGGAGCAAATGAAGGTTAATTTCTAGCCAATTTAATTATGATGATATGTTTGGTCGTTTTGCTCTCGCTAAATTAGTCCTCTTATATATTTTTTTTTCAAGTAACTAGAGGACTAAGCGAGATTAGTTCATCAGTGTATGATGAGTTTCAATTGCAGGCTGCCATAGGCACATTGGATGGCATCATCGACACAGTCTCAGCTGCGCATCCCATTGTGCCCTTACTTGGTCTTTTGAAGCCCCATGGGAAGCTTATTCTGGTGGGTGTACCAGAAAAGTCACTAGATCTCCATGTGTTTCCTTTAATCATGGGTAAGTATAAAACTCCTGGATAATTTGACTTGTATATTATCTCGTACATTATTTCGGCCTAGAATCTAAAATGATTATCAAAATGTGAATCTAGGAAGAAAGTCTGTGGCCGGTAGTGGAATCGGAGGCATGAAGGAGACCCAGGAAATGATTGATTTTGCAGCAAAACACAACATAACGGCGGAGGTTGAAGTTAACTCAATGGATTACGTGAACACAGCAATGGAGCGTCTTGCTAAGAATGATGTAAGATGATGCGAGAAATATAAGCACACTCAAATTAAACCCTCTTTTTGACAATTGTAGCAAAGTATGTAAGTAGGGATCGTTCTAAACCGGGGATTAGGAGGGCTTGCTAAAACCTCTAAACTGACTCAAAAACAAAAAGAAACAAAGTTAAAAATGTAAACAAAAGATTTTAAAACAAGAAAGTAAAAGGGGGATTTGAGTTTGGTGAAGTTGAAAGTAAAAACGAATAAACTAAAAACTTAAATAGATTTTAAACAAATTTGGGTTGAATGGATAATGGAAGGCTAGCTAAGGGGTTCTTCTCCACACATGTCTTGCTTGCATACAAAATGATTTCCAATTGCTCTTCGATAAGTTATGAATACTCAATGCCCCAAATTAACCGTGAATTGCACTAATTAACTCTCAGTTTTTTCAACAAGTTATTAGATTGGATGATTGCATACGACAACCCAAAACATTCCCTACAAGTTCCCTACATGAATTGCATAATAGAGATACAAGCAAGAATCATTAAGTTCTATGAAAAACATAAGCATTGACGAGGCACTCGTTACTATGATTTGCATGAAACTTATGCCAAGAATTTACTTAACGTGATTGTGACTAGCAACCTTCACTACTTGTGAATATAAGTTCATAACGATTAGGTGAAACTCCCTTATATTCTAGCGTCAAATTCATGCATGAAAATTAAGCGTGCACTCTCAACCAACATACACAAATTAGTTTTTATACGAACGGATAAGTAAATTGAATTCACAATTCAAGAAACGCAATTGGAAGTAATCAAATCATATAGCAAGCATAAACATGGTTTTGAATCCCCCCCTAGCCAAGGGGGGTTTAGTTCCTCATTATTACAAAACAAAGATAAACAAATTTAACCATTGAAAAACAAAGGGAAGAAAGCACCTAAACGTTCCAACGATCCATGTTGGATAGCAAGCGCGTCCAAGGACTTTTCTCCTTCTCCTTGCCGCCACAACAAGGTTGGAATGATGTTGAAGGGTTGGTTATTTGGAGGAATGGATGGGAAGGGGTTTAGATATGTAGGAGAGGCAAGGAAAGGCTTGGAGAATGGTTAATTTCTGGATGATTTGAATGAGGTTGCTGCCATGGTATTTATAGGAAGAGGATGGACATGTTTAATGCAAAAATCTAGTGGAATGAAGTAGGTAAGGCATGGCAAGGTGGAGAATTGTTGGTGAGGGTAGGTTTTGAGTCATCCACTCACATGTCATGGTGAGTTAAGCATTGCATCATCCACTCAAATGTCATGGTGAGTTAAGCATTACATCATCCACTCAAATGTCATAGTGAGATAGGCATTGCATCATTACTAAAAAATCTGGTGGAAGTAAAACAAAGGGAAGGCCACGGCATTGATGAATTTTATGGGGTATGCATGGGTTTGAGTGAAGTTTTGGCCAATCCTTCTAGAAATTTATCCCTTCTTGCAACTTGTATTTGTTTCACCAGATTTTTAGCATGTTCCTAGCCTCTTTTGTCTTCAAATTCGTCCATCCGTCTTGCTCATATCATATGTAATCCATTACAAGCTCAAAACTGCTCCAAAATGCACCAAAATGCACTTTCTTGCTACCTTAGCCCTTTGGACCTACAAACACACGAAAATGGCTTAAAGTACTAAAATAACTAAGAACTAATAACGTAAATGCAAGAAAACTAGTTAACTAAGTCGCATAAATATGCGTCTATCATAAGATACCGATTTGTCATTGATGTTGCAAACACACTGGCTGCTAGCGAAGCTTGAAGACTCAAGAAGGGGAATAATGAAAGTTGTTCTAAGGTCTTAAGTAACTACATTTCATCCACGTAGGTTGATTTGTGCCTGGCACGTTTATTTTGTTTGTATTGGCCATTTAATATTTCAAATAAGAAAGTATATGGGACGACGCCACCAGTCTAAATCACGCCTAAACTTTGACATATGAGCTATTTAAGCCGAATTCTATCATTTACCTGTTTTATTAGCATTATGATTTTCCAAGTTTTTCAGTATTTTGTTATTGGTGTAATTCGTTTCGTATTTGAACTCCTAAAAAATCTAGAGTTGACCGGCATTTTTAAATCTCCTTTAAGACGCTATGGTGTATTATCTTTCATATTTTCAATCAATAAATTTTGAGATTATCTTATATTTTCAGTAAATTTCAATTTACTTTTTTCTCTGTGAATTTCAATTTACTTTTTTCTTTGTGAATTTCAATTTACTAATTTTTTAGAGTAATTTTTGCAAGGATAATCTATGAATCAAGACTTTCAAAATAAGAGGTTTGGATTGTTGAAGTTCGATGTAGAGTGAGTCCCTGTTGACTCTAAAAACTAGCAAGCCTACGTGGCGCATAAGCCGAGTAATTAATAAGCTAAGTACGTCATTCAGTTAACTGCGGGGTTTGCCAACTATTCGGCTGAGTTCGGCTGGGGAGTAATGTGGCGTTGGGCGCGTCGCTGATTTCTTGATCTTACGACTGTGGCCGGGGAAGGAACACGTCTCGACCTTCGGGTTCTAAAGCCTGAAGACCAGGCTGCTAGTTTCTTCGAAGTTCACAAATCGTCAGCGTCGGGTTTGGTCTCGGTAATTATATTCATGAGAGTATAATTACCTAGTAAATGTGGTTCGGCCGTCAGAATGTCGAACTCTAAAATGTACTTGTGAATATCTAATCATAAAATAAAACTTGGCTTTCAATGTGCCGAGCCTAATAACCTAGTAACTCCTCACTTCGTTGAGAAGGTTGATGAGATGACCTCCACCAACATGGACTCAGAAATCCTTGTCGACCGAGGCTTGGATAAATAACCAGTCGACCTCGAAGCAGTGCTGTCTATCCAAACTGAAGGTGCTCATCGGTCAGCTGATTCTACAGCTCCAGTATTGTCTATTCAAACTGAAGATGCCACCGGTTGCCTTCACAGTGTTATCTATCCAAACTGTAGATGTGTTGGCTGAAATTAAGGGGTAGAGGAAAAAATCTCAAGGTTGTTGAGAAGCTTTGCGCAGGGCAATTTGTGTGTTGATTTAGAGGGGACCTGAATGATGCACTCCCTTCTCTATTTATAGCAGCAAACCCCCCATATGGCTAAACTAGAAATGTACTCGGATTAGAACTCCTTAATCTAATCTGATTAGGTTCCGGATAATCCTAACCCCTATAGGAATTTGAACCAAGCTCCTTAACGAACCAAATTCATCCCCTAATTCTAAGCATCTTCAGCTTTAAGACTCCTTGTTGCACTAGGGTTCGACTACCTCACCCTTATCTAAACCAATCCTCTTAGCAACAAGATTCGATCGACCTTGACTGGACAGCCCATGACAAGATTCTAGATGAATGTTACAGCCCTTGACAGCACGACCTCTCACCTCTGTTAGTTTTCTTGACACAAGGCAGCTCCTCATCATGACTGTCCATCTTCAACAATGCGTACTCGCATGTTCGAGGCGTGCAGACACCGAAACGTCTCTTAACTTCGTCGTTACACACAATCGTGCAACCTCAATTAATGTGCTTTTTTGCCTCTTCACCTAGATTTTCAAGAGATTCGTTATGATTACAAAATTCTTCGATTGGATTTGCCATTCATTTCTTAAAAATAAACCATTGTTCTTCTCTCCCAATTGCCTATAAAAACTCTGCCCAGCAACATTCCAACTTTCACGCTTTCAACCTTCAGAAATTCTTGCCATTTGCTCCCAACCCAGAAAAAGAACCCAAACCTCGAAACCCAGAAAAACTCCAAACCTTTATCAATGGCCTCCAATACTTTCATCACTAAGCTCACCGAGGAATGCAACAAATGCCAAGACTTCATCAATCGGAGTGCCATCAAAACCCTTCGATTTAAGGGTGATTCAAACACCACTCACCAGATTCTGGGATCACTCTTTAAGGACAACGTCCTATAAATCATCACCGAGATGCTGAAAGCCCATTGCTTAAAACCCTTATTCTGAGGGTATGATTGGTCAAAGTGGAAATCGACCAAACCTCAAGAAGCCTGGCCCTCGACCCCCGTGACCTGGGCTGCTTGGGTCACCCGAATGGAGCTACACTTTGATGGTGAGTGGAAAACTCTTAGCATTTTTGACACTATCAAACTCTCGACCTTTGAAATCAACATGGATCGAGAGCTCTTGATGGCCATCCTGAGCTTCTGGTGTTCGATCACTAACATTATGGTTTTTCCTCTCGGCCCCATTGGTCCAACCGTGCTGGACATCACATCCATACTCGATATTTCTCCATCCGGTCTCCTAATTGATACCAAGCTTTCTCGGTATCAGTTTGATCTGGACCTGAAAGAAGTTTTCGACGTTTGTGTTGTTGAGGTTTTGATAAAGAAGGATCATGAGCCGTCAAAAGAAGATTTACATAAAGTGCACAAAAATTTCTTTAACTATAGCACCTTAATTAACCACTTTGTTAGTTCAAAGAATGAAGATCTCAAGAAAGGATAGCACAAGGCTTTGTTTTACTGGTACAATAAATTCACCTTTTGTACCAAGTTAAATAAGTGCTAGGCCGAAAATATGCCAATGGCTGAAGCTCTAGCCAGCGACCATGTCCTGGCCTTCAGCCTAGCCATCCTCACTAACCTCAACTGGTGCTTAGCCGAGGCCTTTGTTCGGAAGATCGATCCACACCAAAAAGGCCTACTCTGGGCCTTCCAACTTTGGTTGCAGGTATATTATTCCACGTTGAAGCCAGAAATCCCAAGCTTCAACTCTTCTGAAACGATGGGTCTTCAACTGGCCTTGCGCCCCATTCCTACTCACTCGGCCGAAAACATTTTCAAGTATTTCTTTGGCCTTGAAGTTCTATCAGACGATGAATCTGTCGTTGCCAGAAATATTTGTCTTCCATCAAACTCCCCACATCAGCATGGGAGAAATAGAGGAAGTTGACTTTCGACAGTCCTGGGGGTCGTTTACCCTAGCTTATGACCTTCCCTTTGGTTGCAATGCTAGACGATCCAGTTGGGAAGTCTACCATCCCAACTTTATGGCTCGTTAATTAGGCTTCCTTTAAGGCTGTCCTATGCCACTCCTCACCTCTCACTCATTTTTGTGCCGAGAATGTCTTTTCGGCTTCTCGAAGAAGGAATAC